ACTTAAAGGGCAAATGTGTTTCGATATTGACAGACAATGCGATGGCCATGTATTACATCAACTGTCAGGGGGGTGTTCGTTCCTCTCCCTTGTGCCAGGAGGCTGTAGCCTTCTGGGATATCTGTATTGCACAAGGGGTATACTAGCAAGTGGCCTACCTTCCGGGGTCTTCAAGGACTATAGCGGATCACCTCAGCAGGGCCGTCTCACCACCCAAGTGCTCCCTCAAGGCAGAGGAACTCAATACCTTTTCCGAAGGTGGAGAACTCCCCAACTGGACCTGTTCACTTCTCAAACCAACAAGAAGTGTCCCAAATTCTGTTCCTACAGGGACTGGGCAGGGGTTCAGAGGGGGACGTCCTGGTAGGGAAGTGGCTGGGGGGCCTTCTTTACGCATTCCCCCCCTTCCCTGTAGTGTACAAAGTGCTCTTGAGAGTCAAGCGGTTCGGGGCGACACTAATACTGGTAGCCCCAGCATGGCCCCACGAACACTGGTGCATGACCCTAGTGTCTTTGTCGGTGGAGGACCCCATTCCTCTGCCAATGTCCCCGGATCTATTGACACAAGAGCTCGATCAGGGTTGTCTCTGCCACCTGAACCTGCAAGCCCTTCACCTGACGACCTGGAAAATCAGTGGGCTGCGGGTGAGGGAACTCCTTTGGTCAGAAGCAGAAAGCCAATGACTAGGGCAACATATTGAGCCAAATGGAAAAGGTTTTCGGTATGGGTCACTGGTAAGAGTGGGGACCCTATCCGAGCCTCTATCCCATTGATCCTAGACTCCCTACTCGAGTTCAGGCAGCAAGCGTTGTCTACCTCATCTCTCAGGGTACACCTGGCAGCCATTACAGTATTTCACCAGGGCAAAGCAGGCAGGTCGGTCTTCGCCCATGACATGATAAAGCAATTCCTAAAAGGTGTGCACAGATTGTACCCCCAGGTTAGGCAAGAAGATCTCACCAAACTGAGTGATTGGGCAACAAAATGGCAAATGAAATTTAATGTGGATAAGTGTAAAGTAATGCTCATCGGGAAAAATAACCCCAACTACACGTACAGTATGATGGGGGCTAATTTGGCTACGACAAATCAGGAAAGAGATCTTGGAGTTATCGTGGACAGTTCTATGAAAACTTCCACACAGTGTGCAGCGGCGGTCAAAAAGGCAAATAGGATGCTAGGAATTATTAGAAAAGGGATAGAAAATAAGACCCAGAATATCTTACTGCCCCTGTATAAAACTATGGTACGCCCACATCTTGAATACTGTGTACAGATGTGGTGGTCTCACCTCAAAAAAGATATTTTGGCCTTGGAAAGGGTTCAGAAAAGGGCAACTAAAATGATTAGGGGTTTGGAACGGGTCCCATATGAGGAGAGGTTAAAGCGACTGGGACTTTTCAGTTTAGAAAAGAGGAGACTGAGAGGGGATATGATAGAGGTCTATAAAATCATTAGTGGTGTGGAGAGGGCCAATAAAGAAAAGTTATTTATTAGTTCCCTAAATAGAAGAACTAGAGGACACCAAATGAAATTAATGGGTAGCAGGTTTAAAACTAATAAGCGAAAGTTCTTCTTCAAACAGCGTGTAGTCAACCTGTGGAACTCCTTGCCAGAGGAGGCTGTGAAGGCTAGGAGTATAATAGAGTTTAAAGAGAAGCTAGATAATTTCATGGAGGTTAGGTCCATAAAAGGCTATTAGCCAGGGGATAAAATGGTGTCCTTGGCCTCTGTTTGTCAAAGGCTGGAGAGGGATGGCAGGAGATAAATCGCTTGATCATTGTCTTCGGTCCACCCTCTCTGGGGCACCTGGTGCTGGCCACTGTCGGCAGACAGGACACTGGGCTAGATGGACCTTTGATCTGACCCAGTACGGCCGTTCTTATGTAACCCATCCTACTATGGGACTTGAACTTGGTACTCTGAGGCCTCACTAGACCCCCATTTGAACCCCTGGCTATGTGTTCCCTGTCACACTTGTTGTGGAAGGAAGCATTCTTAGTCACCATCACCTCGGCGAGGAGGGTGTCCGAGCTGCGAGCTCTGTCCTTGGTTGGAACCACCGTACTTACTGATTTCCAGGGATAAGGTGATGCTGAGGCCTCACCCAGCCTTCCTCCCCAAGGTGTTTTATATGTCACAGGAGATTTTTCTGCCAGTATTCTACCCAAAACCACATGCAGATGAGAGAGAGCACTCCACACACTAAATGTTAAGAGAGCTCTAGCAGTTTATTTAGATAGAAAAAGACTGTTTTGCAAGTCCACCCAGCTCTTCGTCTCGGTGGCTGACAGGATGAAGGGTAATCCAGTATTGGCACAGCGCTTCTCATCCTGGATTACGTTCTGTATTAGAACTTGTTACAAAGTTATGGGCAGTATGGCCTCACCACTTAAGGCACATTCTACAAGAGCGCAGGTCACCTCAACGGCCTTTGTAGCACAGGTACCAATTGTAGATATTTGCAGAGCATCTACTTGGTCCACACATTCACCAAACACTATGCCATCACACAGCAGGCTAGACAGGATGCAGCGGTTGGCAGAGAAGTGCTGCAGTCTGTTTCATCTCACGTTTCCAACCCCACCTCCGGTGGGGTTTAGCTTGGAATCACCTAAACGGAATGGACATAAGCAAGCACTTGAAGAAAAAATGGTTGCTTACCTTGTAACTGTTGTTTTTCGAGATGTGTTGCTTATGTACATTTTGAACCCACCCACCTCCCCTTTGTCGGAAATATCAGGCAAGAAGGAACTGAAGCAGGGGAGGGCCAGCAGGGGATTATTAGCGTGGCTATACTGGCTCCACTCCAAGGGGCTCCCTGGCTGGCCTAACAGGTGCTGCTAAGGGTAAAAAGCTTCCGGAACTTGTGCATGGGGCATGCACACACCTAGACCGAATGGACATAAGCAACACATCTCAGAACAAGAGCTACAAGGTAAGCAACCATTTTTTCTTAATTCTTCAGGAAACACAAGATGGTTTGTTCTCAACTGGTGGGAAAGTAGCAGTATTTTTGTTGTAGGGAAGACAATTAGCTACTCTTTGGAGAGGACGGGGCCATGGAACAAGGGATACTTTTCCCTATTTTGCTAAGGAACAGTGGAGAAACTTGAGAAGTTGTAAGTCTGTATTGTGAAGTGTGAAAGAGCTCCAGTTTTGAAAGGCAAGTCTGTGTCTTCCATTATCCCAGGTGAAGAGAAAAGAGACAAGTGACTTGACTTTAGAGAACACCTTCAGGGAGAGGAAATGATCATTTATTTAGAGGAAAAAATTGGCCTTTTGCAATTTTTTGTTAGATTTATTTGGGGACAGGTTGAAAAATTAATTAAAACCATTCACTGGCTTGCTGTGAGAATTGCAAAAGCCTCTTCGGCATGAAAGGCTACAGGCTTTGTTTTGAATCCAATTTTAATATTGTTTTGAAGATGTGTCCTTTTCAAGGTAGAGTTTGATGAATGAAAGAATGGAATTAAAGAATGGGATTGTCTTCAATTGCAAGGGATTGGACATGGTGACCCAGGATGTCCTTTCCAGTCCCATGTATTTTTGTTCCTTTGGGCTGTGTCTACACTGGCATGAATTTCCGGAAATGCTTAAAACAGAATAGTTTTCATTATAAGTATTTCCAGAAAAAGAGCGTCTACATTGGCAGGCTGCTTTTCCGGAAAAGCCCTTTTTCCGGAAAAGCATCTGTGGCCAATGTAGACACACTTTTCCGGAAAAGAGCCCCGATCGTCATTTTCGCGATTGGGGCTTTTTTCCGGAAAAGACTACTGGGCTGTCTACACTGGCCCTTTTCTGGAACAGTGTTCCGGAATAAGGACTTATGCCCGAGCGGGAGCAGCGTAGCTTTTCCGGAATAGCGGCTGATTTTGTACAGTTGAGCGTCGTTGCTTTTCCGGAAATTCAAGGGCCAGTGTAGACAGCTCGCAGCTTATTCTGGAAAAGCAGCTGATTTTCCGGAATAAGTGGCCCAGTATATTGCTGATATACCAATTCAGTGTGAGCAGATTTTGTTTTTTCCCTTCAGGGGAAAAAACTCTTCTGCTTTTCACTTAAGAAGTTTGAGAGACTAGGTGGTAGGTGATCTAAAGACACGCACTTCATAATAAAAATCTAAAAATACCACATTGATTCTTATAAATTTCCCAAACCTGTGAGGTACTACACATCTTTTGAAGTCAGTGCCATTTGGTGGCAGTTGGTACCTCATAGGACTGAGCCTTTTTTGAGACGAGTCCTTCATTTTTTTAGTGAGAATCTTCACATGGGTTTGATTAGTACCAACTGCTGCAAGGGCAGGGCACTGTATCCATATTTAAATATTTTTAAAGTTTTTCTTCCAAATTATGATTTTAAAATGTACACAAATGTTTTCCACCAATCTTGTAATACGGGGAAAGTTTACCTCTTATTTACCCAGCTCTCTCAGTATATCTGTGTCTAAGAAGCTGGTATTTTTAGAGGGAGCATATGCATAATTGTTCCAATGTTTTTTTCCCTCCAGTTTCCCCTATATCTTATTCCTGTCAAAATAATCTAGGGAAAATCTGTGGTTTAACTCTCCTGAATACTTTATTTTCCTTTTGGCAAGTGAGGCATATCACAAAACACAATCCCTTACCATTAATGACTTTTCTGTAAGGAATTTTTGTATGCGTCAGCCTTTGTGCACTATATGATTTATATTTGTTAGCAACAAAACACCACAAACTGATTTAGAAATACTTGCTGTCATGAGCGTAAGTCGGAAAATACTTTACCTTTTTCTTTTGGTATTCCACCAGAATAAACCTCTTCTAGCAAAATATAACACAATGCCATTTGGAATTCTTTTCAAGGAAGCTGAAGTTTAGATTAATCAACTGCAATCTGGATTGGCATGTTGTCTTTTCTGAGGTTTTGTCTTAACTTTAGGAAATCAAATGTAGCTATTTTGTCCTGTACTTGTAGACGTGTTTTTAGAGCTTAAGTGGTGATCATTTGCTTTCAATAGGGAGAAGTGGAGAAAGAGACTGATAAGAAAAAAATAAAATTGGAGAAAGAAACCAAATCATTATTGTCTTCAAGTCATAAAGACTTCAGTAAAATGAAGTGAGTATAGACTGATGAAATGCCAGGAAAATGTATAAAACTAAGCTCTTAAAAAAAAAAAAAAAAGGTTTTGGTGAAGAGCTGCTTTTTCCTTCCTGCATGTATGTTATTGATTAATGTGATGTATGTGTTATGTGAGGCAAATTAATCCTTACATCTTCGTAACAACATATGCACGTATCTTTAAAAATCAGGACTGAGTCCTTTGGGATATCATGAGATGTTTTCATTTTGTTTTCCTCCTTTTCCTTGCTATGCCTTGTTCCTTTGCACTACCTTTCAGTCTCTGGTCATTTTTGATTATTTTGCAGTGTATGTAGAATTTATACTAATATGCATTTTTTTAAAATTATGAGTGCAGTGCTTTACAAACAATTAAGGCACATAATTCCCCTGTAATGTAGGCTAGAACTGAACCCATTTTACAGATGCAGAAACTGGGGCAGAAAGCAATTAAGTAACTTAACCAAGATCACATAGGGATTTGGTAGGTACAGCAGGGCAGAGAACCCCAGAAGTCTGCTGATTGACCAATAGCTCTATCCTGGGAGAAGAGGCTTCTGGCATACTGTGAACAATCTTTGCAGACCAAGATTCCAGTCAAGCAAAACCCATGCTTAATTTTAAGCACTTGGTTTTTATAGAACTACTAACACATTTAAAGTTGAGTGTGTGCTTCAGTGCTTTGTCAGATTAGGGTATGGGTGGTTCATCTAACTGGTGCCTTGTCCAACTTTTCCTGCTTAAAAGACTATTGTAAAGGTAGTGGTAAAGAACGTGGTCATCTGCAGCCTCAGATTTCCTTGTTGTCTCTGGTTTTTGGCTTGGTACTGATTTGGTGGCCAGATCCAGCCCACCAAATCTTTGCATCTGACCCACTGCCATCCCATGACCCAGCTGGTTCCCTGCCTACCACACTCCCCACATGCCATTCAAAGTAGTCAATTATTAGAGCCACATGCATCTCTGCAGCATGTGCCCCTGAGGGAGAAAGGGTATCACAGTGTACTGCCTCTGCCCTCAGCACAATTTTACAGTTCCCATTGTCTAAAAACCAGCCAATGGGACCTGCCTGGGCCGTGCTTGAGGTACAGGCAGCACGCAGAATCCCCCTCCCCCAAGTGGCATGTGGTGCAGAGACACACATGTTGACCACTTGGAGGTGCAACAGGCAGGGGGGCTGCTGGCCGGCAGCTGCCTAAGGTAAGTGGCAGCCTCACTTTCTAACCTACCAAATAAAACTGTTAAGTCCTTGTCCCTTGAACTGTGGTCTCTTGCTAAGCAGTTCTGTGCAAGCTAATTTAACTGTCTAGTCTATACTAGCACTTAATTTTATGAAAGGACCTGAGGTAACAAGAAATTCTGTCTGATGCTAGGGATAGAAGATGCATTCTTATAAGAGAAAGTAGCGAGGAGTCCTGTGGCACCTTATAGACTAACTGAAGTGTAGGAGCATAAGCTTTCGTGGGCAAAGACCCACTTCGTCAGATGCATGCAGTGGAAACTTCCAGAGGCAGGTATAAATATGCAGGCCAGGATCAGGCTGGAGATGACCAGGTGGATCCAATCAAGGAGGATGAGGCCCACTTCTAGTAGCTGATCTGGAGGTGAGAATTCCAAGAGAGCAGAAGCTGCTTTTGTAGTTAGCGAGCCATTCACAGTCTTTGTTAATCCAGAGTTGATTGTGTCAAACTTGAAGATGAACTGTAGCTCAGCAGTTTCTCTTTGAAGTCTGGTCCTGAAGTTTTTTTGCTGCAGGATGGCTACCTTTAGATCTGCAATTGTGTGTCCAGGAAGATTGAAGTGTTCCCCAACAGGTTTTTGTATGTTGCCATTCCTAATATCAGATTTGTGTCCATTGATTCTTTTATGTAGGGACTGTCCAGTTTGGCTGATGTATATAGCAGTGGGGCTTTGTTGGCACACGATGGCATATATTACGTTGGTAGATGTGCAGGAGAATGTACCAGTGACAGTATGGCTGATCTGGTAGGTCCAGACCTACCGACCGCTATACTTACCTGCATGCCTCCAGCTTCCATCCCGGACACACCACACGATCCATTGTTTACAGCCAAGCACTGAGGTACAACCGCATATGCTCCAAAAACCCTCAGACAGAGACCTACACCTACAAGATCTTCAACAAGCATTCTGTAAACTGCGATACCCACACGAGGAAGTGAGGAGACAGATTGACAGAGCCAGACATGTACCTAGAAGTCTCCTGCTACGGGACAAGCCCAAGAAAGAAACCAACAGAACACCACTGGCCATCACCTACAGTCCCCAGCTAAAACCTCTCCAATGCATCATCAGTGATCTACAACCCATCCTGGACAATGATCCCTCGCTTTCACAGGCCTTGGAAGGTAGGCCAGTCCTTGCCCACAGACAACCCGCCAACCGGAAGCATATTCTCACCAGCAACTACACACCGCACCATAATAACTCGAACTCAGGAACCAATCCTTGCAACAAACCTCGGTGCCAACTCTGCTCACATATATACACCAGCAACACCATCACAGGACCTAACCAGATCAGCCTCCTTGATTGGATCCACCTCGTCATCTCCAGCCTGATTCTGGCCCGCATATTTATCCCTGCCTCTGGAAGTTTCCACTCCATGCATCTGACGAAAGCTTTGCCCACGAAAGCTTATGCTCCTACACTTCAGTTAGTCTATAAGGTGCCACAGGCCTCCTCGCCGCTTTTGCAGATTCAGACTAACACGGCTACCCCTCTTATAAGAGAAAAAGTCAGTTCTGTGGTAAGCCACTTTGAAAAACAACATGCTGCGGTAGCTTGCACCATTCAGGATGTTCTTTCTCAGAGATTCTTGGTCTCTTGTACATCCCCGAAGAAGAACGAAATGTGAAGATGGCTATGTTGTGGGGTGTTGTGAAAACCCAGTCTATAATAGGGTTCAAAAAAGAACTAAATAAATTGATAGAGGAGAGGTCCCTCAATGGCTATTAGTCAGGATGGGTAGGGATGATGTCCGTCACCTCTGTTTGTCAGGAGCTGGAATGGGCCAGAGGGAAGGGATCATTTGATGATTACCTGTTCATTCCCTTTGGGGCATCTGGCATTGGCCACTGTCTGAAGACAGAATGTTGGACTAGATAGACCCAATATGGCCATTCTTGTGCTTGCTCTTCTTTAATCCCAGGCAGAGGTGAAAGAGAGCCAGCACAGCATTCTAGTAAGAGCCTGCCATGGGCAGAGCTTTAACATCGCTGCCCTTTTTGCTCTCCCCTCGCCTCCACCCAATATGGCCCTACTGGTAAGATCTGGCAGTACTTTAGAGGCAGCTGCTTGACCGTACCAGCAGGACTGCCAAATGGGGCTGGAGCAAAAGTACCACTGGGATTTCTGCGTGAGCCTCAGGGTTCCCAGCTTCAAGGGCTATGAAGGGTTGGCTGGAGGAGTCTGCCCTTCACCCCTTCTGCCTAGGCCCAGCCAAAGGGTTTGCAGGGCCCAAGGCAAGATGCTGGGTGTGGGGCTCCGAGTCCAGCCGGTGGATGGTGAATACTCAGCAGCGCAGGGCCCTGAAAGCAAAAGGCCCAAAGCATTTGCCTTGCTCACTTTGCCATAGGGTGGGCCTGCTTCTGTCCGAGTTCCTGCTCTTTCCAGGGCCCAGAGCCACCCCTTTATGCCAGGGCCAGGCACATCAGTAAGCAAGCCATCCTGACCAATACGCAGAATGCACAATTGCGTAGGACAGCTGAAAATTTGGGACACCACTGGGTCTTAATATCCACTCACTTGCCTTTTCCTAGCCCTGTTCTGTGGCTTTGCTTCCTCCAGAGAGGATCAAGTTAACTTAAAAGTGAAAAAACCTATGAGCAGACCATCAAACCTGTGAAAGGACCTTTCAGGTGGTAATGAAGCCATGTGACAGGCTTTTGCCAACCACGTGTATATACTGTCACTGAATTGACTGCATTATTCCACAGGATCTTAGTTTAAATTTTGTTTTAAAAATACAGGTTGAACCTCTCTAATCCAGCTCTTTCGGGACTTGACCAGTGCCGAACCAGAGAATTTGCCGGACCATGGGAGGTCAATATTGTCTAGCAGCTTTACCAATACTTCCACTGCTTGCTGGGCTGTTAGAACACATTTAGGGCTAAATAACAGCACATAACACTGAAATCCAGGTCTGGTAGCTATAAACAAACATTATGGAACTGCAAGAAACTTGGCCACACCCATGATAAGTGGAATGCCAGTTAAGTAAAATCATGCCAGACCACGAATGTTGCTGGACCAGAGTGCCAAACTAGAGAGGTTCACCCTGTATTTCATTAGTGTGTTGCTGAAGATTATAAAATCACATCTCTAAAAAAAACCCTCACCCTCAGCTGCCATTGGGCATAAGGGCACCAGTTTAATAGAACTGCATAGGGCCCCATAAATCCCTACCAGTAAGTCTTTCCTTTTACTTTCATCCCTGATCCCTGGACCTTTAGCTGTAATTTTTTCCTCTAATAACAAACTTGAAGTTTTGTCTTTATTGCTGCTTCAAATATGATTTTCCTGATTGTTGATGACAGTTGAGAACTATTTCCTGAATCACCAAAAAGTCCCTAAAGTTTCCTCTTGCTTTTTATGGATTCTTAATTAGCCATCTTACAGTTCCAGAGTCTCTAGCTGAATAAACAGAATCATTACATCATGTAGTTAATGTTTTTAATGTCTTGTATTATATACTGTTAATATCCTATATGGTAAGTTCATTTTCTATCTCCAGAGGATGCAAATTTCCATCCGAGACACTGAAGAAAGAGCTCCTGCTACCGCCACCATTGCCACCAATGTCTACCATACAGCCTGCCCAGAAGCAGGCACAAAAGGGGCACAAGGGTGAGACTAGTACCTGCAGCCAGCTGTTTGTCACAAGTAATGGCAATGCCAAGAGCAAGAGCAACCACAAGGATTCTTCATCCTCCAAGCACAGGAAAATGGAGGGGAAGCTCTCTGAACATTCTAAGAGCAACAAAGTAGGTGTCCATTGTTCATGGCAGAACTTTTCATGCTAGCAGTGAGTGTTTCCTTCAGAAACATTATTCTCTTTTCCTTAATGTTTTTAAAGGGTGAGGCTTGGGAATTAAGTATCAGAGGGGTAGCCGTGTTAGTCTGAATCTGGAAAAGCGACGAGGAGTCCTGTGGCACCCTATAGACTAACAGATTTATTGGAGCATAAGCTTTTGTGCCCACAAAAGCTTATGCTCCAATAAATCTGTTAGTCTATAGGGTGCCACAGGACTCCTCGTTGCTTTTGCATGGGAATTAGTGACTCTGTGGGTTTTAGAGATTTTTTTTTTCTTATTCGGTCCCTGAGAGTCTGTCTAGCAAAATCTTTCTAACCAAAAATCATCTCTCCCCAATGACAGAAAAGCAGGTATTAGGATGGGTTTCTGATTACTGTGATGTTATTGTTTATTACAAAGTACCCTACTTGTTTATTTGCAATGATTTGCATGTTGTTAAAACACCAGATAGAAAATAAACCAGAGATTGTGCTGCAGCATCTTTGTTTATCCAGTATGTTTTCTAATTTTACTTTTTAAATTTACAAAATATACTCATTTGTAGTATGTTTAAAATTTATTTATAAGGCTTTCCAAGATGTTGCTGTTCCAGAAAAAAGTCTTGTGAAGCAGCACACCTGCTGGTCAAAACTAAGCTATCCAGCAACTTCTGTTGTAATTCGAAGCCCCATGATGTCAGTGGGAGTCTTTCCCTTGGCTTCATTGAATTTTGTAACAAGCCCTCGCTCAGTGTTTCTTAAACTTTTTAAGACTGAGGAGCACCAAACAATAATGAGGAACACCAAGGATTTTTTGTTAAGCAAAAAAAAAAAAAGTATGGAGGCAAAAAGGTTGGGGGGGGCGGGAGGAGTTACTGAGCCAAAAAAAGTATCACCTGTACCTTTAAGGGTAGCCATTTTGAATTCTGTTCTCCGCGGCACACCGATGTGCCACAGAACACAGTTTAAGAAACACTGCCATAGGTGATCGGTGCTATTAAAAGCAATTTAACTCGATGCTTTCTGTAAAGTTTCACATCTGTCTTCTCCCTACTAATAAGCAAATAATTAGGAGATGAACAAATGTTAATGATGCTTGGGACCACATTTTCAGTAATAGCCTTACTGTTTAGCCTTACACATTTACAGACACAATACATATGCAAAATCAGCCAGTTTAGTTTTTTTCTTAAGTTCTCTCTAAAAAGCAGGCCCCCTGTTACTGAAAGGACCTCAGTTTATTATAGTACATATTATTTCTAAAGTTGTTTCACAGTAGAGTGGAAGAGCCAGGTGGCTAGTCCTTAATATTTTCCGGTTATAAAATCCAGTTATGTCACCATATGTGTTTACATGAATATGTGTAATCCTGGCTTTGTTCATTTGTTTTTAGAGGGGATGCAGTTGTACTAGACCACTTCAAATTCTGTTTTAACTCTGTGCTTGTCTGGAATTCAAACAAGTAACTTAAATTCTGCAACTGTTGCCTCACACACAAAAGTAAAGCTAGCAATGGTTCTGAGTAGACAACATGGAATAGTTTATTTGTACCAGCCTTTTCTAGAGACCGAGAAAACAAGGTTATCATCTGTCTTGGTCTGTCTTAGCTCACTATGCTAAAAACACCTCTAGTTTCAGAAGCAAGGAAAACCTATTACTACTTCAAGTGCTTGCTTATGTTCATTTCATCTAGGTGTGTGCGCGCCCTGTGCACAAGTTCCAGAAGCTTTTTGCCCTTAGCAGCACCCATTGGGCCAGCCAGGGAGCCCCCTGGAGTAGCACCGGTATATCCATGCATATAACCCTCTGCTGGCCCTTCTCCCGTTCAGTTCCTTCTTTCTGCCCATGACGGTGGCTGGAACGCTTGGCTTCCGATCGCAAGTGTTCCCTTATCTTAGGGTATGTCTACACTACTCTCCTAGTTCGAACTAGGAGGGTAATGTAGGCATACCGCACTTGCAAATGAAGCCCGGGATTTGAATTTCCCGGGCTTCATTTGCATAAGCCGGGCACCGCCATTTTTAAATCCCGGCTCGTTCGAACCCCGTGCAGCGCGGCTACACGCGGCACGGACTAGGTAGTTCGGACTAGGCTTCCTAGTCCGAACTACCGTTACTCCTCGTGGAATGTCAAAAGGGGGCTTTCGTCCCATCCTTGAGGGCTCAATGTCCACATAAGGAAGTCAAAGTTCAGGATGGTCACGCTAGCTGCCATCATCCCCTCCTTCGAACTCGGAGACTAGTACGCCACCCTCGACCTCAAGGATGTGTACGTTCATGTTTCGATTGCCCCGCATCACAGGAAATTCCTGTGCTTTACGGTAGTCAGGGAACACTTCCAGTTTGCAGTCCTGCCGTTCGGCCTATCCACAGCCCCCAGGGTATTCACCAAGTGCATAGTGGTAGAGACTGCTTTCTTGCGGCACAAGGGCCTTCATGTATACCCATACCTAGACAACTGGCTGAACAGTGGCAGGTCTAGGGAATAGGTGCTCTTCCACATCAGGCTGGCCAGGGACACCGTCTCCAACCTAGGTCTGAGCCTCAATGCGGAGAAGACTACTCTCGCCCCCACCCAAGTAATAGAGTTTCTGGGGGAAAGGCTGGATGCCATCTCGGGCCATGTCTCCCTACCAAGGGACAGATTTCTTGCCATGCAAACTATCATACAGCAGCTCCGGTTGCCCCAATGACTATGGCGAGGAACTGCCTGAGGCTGCTAGGCCACATGGCGGCGTGCGCCTTCGTAATACAGCACGCCATGTTGCACCTTCGGCCCGTCTAGTCTTGGCTGACTTCGGTATTCAGACCAGCCCAAGACCACTTGGATGTGGTAGTCATGGTCCCACAACAGGTTCTGTTTTCCCTGAGCTGGTGGCTCTCAGAGGACAGCATGAGAGGCAGCATCCCGTTTGCCCAACCTCCTTCCTCGATTCAGCTGGTGATGGACACTTCCGACACTGGTTGGGGTGCTCACCTGGGAAGCCTGCAGACACAAGGTATGTGGTCTGTGGTGGAGAGAAAACTCCACATAAATGTCAGGGAACTAAGGACAGTAGCTGTGGCGTGCAAGACCTTCATGCCCCATCTGAAGGGCAAATGCGTGTCCATACTGACAGACAACACGGCAGCGATGTATTACATCAACCGTTGGGGGGAGGGGGAGCTCGTTTGTCTCCCCTGTGCCGGGAGGCTGTAGCCCTATGGGAGATGTGTATCGCACAGGGGGTACACCTGCAAGCAGCTTACCTCGTGGGGCCCTCCAATACTCTGGTGGATCACCTCAGCAGAGATTTCTCGCCACACGAGTGGTCCCTCAAAGAGGAGGTAGCCCTTTCCCTCTTCCGGAGGTGGGCAACTCCCCAACTGGACCTGTTCACGTCTCATGCCAACAGGAAATGCCCCAAGTTCTGTTCGTACAGGGGTCTGGGCGAGGGTTCACTAGGGAACACCCTGGTAGGGAGGTGGCCAGCAAGTCTTCTCTATGACTTCCCTCCCTTCCCTGTGCTACATGATGTGCTTTTGAGGGTCAAGGGATTCGGGGCATCGCTGATACTGATAGCCCCGGTGTGGCCCCGTCAGCACTGGTACACGACCCTAGTGTCCCTATTGGTGGAAGACCCCATTCCCCTCCCGTTGTCTCCGGACCTGTTGACATAGAAGCTCAGTCAGGGTTGGCTCTGCCACCCGAATCTGCAGGCTGTCAGCCTGGAGAATCAGTGGCTGAGGGGTGGGGAGCTCCTTTGTTCGGACTTGGTAAAATGAGTACTAGTGGAAAGCAGAAAGCCCTCAACCAGGACAACTTATCGGGCCAAATGGAAGAGGTTTTCTGTATGGGCCTCTGGCAAGGGAGCAGCTCCTACCAGAGCCCATATCCCACTCATTCTGGACTGCTTACTTGAACTCAGGCAACTGGGGTTGTCTGCCTCATCTCTTAGAGTACACCTGGCCGTCATTGCGGCCTTCCACGAGGGAACCACCTTACTTGCTGGTGTCTAGAGACAGGGTGACACTGAGACTGCGCCCGGCTTTTCTCCCCAAGGTAGTTTCTCCTTTTCATATGTCTCAGGAAATTTTTCTCCCGGTGTTTTACCTGAAACCACACGCAAACGAGACAGAGAGCACTCCACACTTTAGATGTCAAGAGATCTCTAGCATTTTATTTAGATAGTACAAAACAGTTTCGTAAGTCCACTCAGCTCCTTTGTCTTGGTGGCAGACAGAATGAAAGGTAGTCCAGTGTCGGAGCAGTGCCTCTCATCTTGGATTACATCGTGTATTAGAGCCTGTTATGAGATCAGGGACACTACAGCCCCACTGCTCAATGCTCATTCTACATGAGCACAGACCTCTTTGGCGGCCTTCTTAGCACAGGTCCCGATTGCGGATATCTGCAGGGCGGCGACCTGGTCCTCGGTCCACATGTTCACCAACCCTATGCCATTACACAGCAGGCTAGACAGGATGTGGCAGTCAGCATGCCAGTGTTGCAGTCGGTTTCTTCTAGGGTTTCTGACCCCGCCTCCGGAGGGGGGGGGTTCGCTTGGAATCACCTAGACGTAATGGACATAAGCAAGCACTCTAAGAAGAAAAACGGTTGTTCTTCGAGATGTGTCCATTCCAAACCCACCCGCCTCCCCTCATTGGAAGTAGCATGTGAGAAGGAACTGAAGGGGGAGAGGAACAGCAGAGGGTTATATGTGTGGATATACTGGCACCACTCCAGGGGGCTCCTTGATTGGCCCAATGAGTGCTGCTAAGGGCAAAAAGCTTCCGGAACTTGTGCACGGGGCGCGCACACACCTAGACCGAATGGACGTAAGCAACACATCTCGAAAAACAACAGTTACAAGTAAGCAACCGTTTTTTAGCCCCCCTTCTCCCCCCCTCCCGCCCCTGGAAAAGTTCACATTATGTTAAAGGTAATACAAGCAGAAATATAAGAAGTCAAGTTACCTCCTGCTTCGCAAAGAGAGAGAGAGAGAAGCAAATATATTCTAGGGCAAATTAATTGTTTTATTTTTTAATTGGGAAACCCAAAGCTTTTAAAATTGCTTTTGATTACAAATTCCTTACCCAGTTCTTCTCTGAATGATGACTTCCCAGGAATCTTCAGGAGATGTCAAAAACCGTTTCCCAATGCCTTCTTTGCCAAATGGTACCTCCAAACCAAAGAGACCTCAAATCAAGTTTGAAAAGTAAGATTTTTTTTTATCTCATCCTCTCCTTCACACTGATCATGCCATCTTCATCATCCTCTGATAACCTTAACTGTATGCCATACATAAGCTTCTTGTTCTCAATTTCAAGACGCTGCACAATGCTATCCCTGCATAGCTCTGTTCTCTCTGCCTTCCTGAGTTGTATCTTTCTCACAATCAATCTCTTGGTCATTTTGTTTAGGACTTATTTTCTTTGTGTCCTCCTCTCTTCATTGAGATCTCTCCCTAAAATGTACTTCTTTATGTGACTAATGTGTGATAACCCAGCAGAGACTTGCCCTGATTTTTATTTAGTTAGTTAATTAGTTAGTTTTGCTCCCGTTTTCTTAACAGCTTAGGGCAACCAGTTTAGAAATGTCACATCTTTTGGCAAGGAAATTACCGTTCTTAAGAAATCTCTTTCTGTGCATCAATGGACATTGTTTTTATTAGGCTGAGTTATGTAACTTAGAAAATTGTACTTTACTTATGAGCAGTACAGTTGGTGTGCTTTTTAGTTCAGGCTTAGAGGAGTCTGTGCAGAGCGCTGCTTATGTCTCTTTTAGTTTTATGTGAGCTATGCACACTTTATACGTTATTCCAATGCATGGAAGTGTACATGGCCAGCAGTATGCTTTATAAAACATGTATGGAATAGAGCAGTGGTTTTCAAACAAGGGGTCACGACCCAGTACTGGCTCATGGAATGTGGGTCTCATTGCTGCAGGGTGATCAAATGACCACCCTCTGTCCTGAGCCCCCCATACCAAACCTGCCTGTCTTGGCACTGCAGACTACGCTTCTAGATCGGGGGGAGCGGTGGAAGGGACGCACAGGGTTCTATGCACTGCCCCTGCCTCAAGCACTAGCTTCACACTCCCTTTGGCTGGAAACTTGCTGCTGGGCTGCTTCTAGGGCACACCATGGTCTGAGGTGCGAGGAGAGGCAGGAAACCTGCCTAAGCAACCCCGCTGCACCACTGACAGGGAGCTGCTCAAAGTAAGCCCCTCCTGCCCACAGTCCTGATACCCCAAAGTCAGAGCCCCTTTCTACACCCTAAAACTCTCACCTTCAGCCGCACAGCAGAGCCCACACTCTAGTCAAATTATGTTGGGTCACAGGCATCAACAATTTCCTCAACTGGGTCATGAGAAAAACAGTTTGAAAACCACTGGAATAAGGTATGGTTCTGTCCGGGTATGTTTACACTGCAAAGTTAATTTGAAATAACAGCCGTTATTTTGAATTAACTTAAATAGCGTCTATACATCTATGGAGCTCTTATTTTTAATTTAGTAAACCTCATTCTACGAGGAGTAACGCCAAATTCGAAATAGCTATTTCGAATTAAGTGCTGTGTAGACACTTGATTCAAAATAGGGGGCCTCCAGCCCTTCCCAGGGAGCCCTGGTGGCCACTCTAGGCACAACCAGGAAAACTCATCTGCTCCCGCACCACCCCTAGCCCCGGAGCCCTTAAAGGGGCAGATTCTGGCTACAGTGCCTGTGCCAGTTGCAAGCCTGCCAGCACCCAGCCTATGCCAGGGGCTCCCAACTAGGGGCTGATCCAGACGCCTCCCTGCATTACGAGGCCCTGGACCGCATCCTGGGGGGGTCACATGGTCCGTGCCCCCCTGGTGGTCATTGACCCCGGGGCAGAGGGCCCTGCCCCTGACACAGGGGAAGAGGAGGAAGAGGAGGAGGACAACGGCCAGGAGCCGCAGGAGCCTGCAGGGACCGTGCCCTGCATCCAAGACCCCAGAGCTGTGCCAGAGAGCCCGTCAGCAGTCTCATCCGAGGCCGGGGAGGCCTCCACATGTGAGTGCCATCACGGTCCCCTTATGCGGACCGGGGGGGCGGGGGAGCCCAGGGACCGTGCGCGTGGGCCTTGCCGACCACAGAGCAGGCAACAACCTGTGCATCTGCTGTGCCAGCTGGGACATGTGGCCCCAGCTGGGTGCCATGCAGGGGCCCTGGCCTGTTCCCCACATATGTCTATGCATGAAGGCACATGACAGGCTCCTGACCCCAGGGAAAGATACTGCACACTGCCCCTCTCTCCAGACGCCCCCTCTACATAGAGGCAGGGCACATCTCCCTCCGCCCCCCCACTGCATACACCACACTATAGGCAGCACAGGGGCTGGGGTACAATACTGGGCCAGCTCACACTCCTGGGGATAGCAGGTGCGGAGACCTGCCATCCTCGTCTTGCAGAGGGGGGCTGGGTTTCACCCACTGTGTCCCCAGGGAGAACTTACCACTTCTCTTGTTTCACTGCAGCCGCAGCACCTGCGAGTGCAGGACACAGCACCTCACCTGGACCATCCAACCGCACTCGGGCCAGCAGGTGCACCCGCAACCTGGAGGAGTTCCACAGGCAGCAGCTGCGCTTACAGGGATGGCAGGTCCACAGCCAGGAGCAGTGGGTGCAAGAGGACGCCTGGAACATCCACCCGCATCCGGGCCAGCAGGCGCACCCGCAACCAGGAGGAGTACCAGCGGCAGCACCTGGGGTTTCAGAGAAGGCAGGTCCACAGCCAGGACCACTGGGTGCAAGAAGACCTGCAGCTGCGGCGGGAGAGCTTGAGGGAGCTGCGGGAGCAGGGCCGTGCCCTCCACGAGCACCTGCAGACCCTGGTGGATCGATTGCTGCCTCCTGCTGCTCCAGCCCCTGTGGCCATCCCAGCTATCGCTCCTCCTCCCACCCCTGCTCCGCCTCCTGCTTCTTCCACCCCTGCCCCGTCCCTCCTGCCCCACCCTCCATACCCACTCCCCCCCGGGAACGCCGAGGCCCCTGCACCCACAGTGTTGAGAGACGGGAGGGCCGGCAAGACCCCCAACTCTGAGCTTCCCCTCCCATTTCCTCCCCTTGCCTCCCCCTTCCAGCTCCCTCCTCCCAGGTTTTCCCCCTCCCCTCTCCTGCCCTCATTCTCCCTCTCCTCCCACCCCAGGTTATAAGAGAGTTTGTTTTTGTCAACACATGTTTCTTTATTTACACGAGGAAGGGGGGTTAGAGAGGGGTCAGTGAAAGGATGTGAGGGTGAAATGAGGCACAAGCTCCCAATGGGGTACACCAGGGAGACTTTAGTCCTCCTCTGGGTGGAAGCTCTCCCACAGGGTCTCCTGGATACGGACAGCCCCCTGATGGGCCTCCCAGCTGGCAGCTGTGTGA